GCTTCTAGATGTTTTATGGATGGAGCATGGGCGGAAGCTGGCGGAGCTGAGTTTGAAGTTCGTATGAGAATTAGGCAGTGAATATGTGAATGACTTATGACCAACATCATCTTCGAGCAATGTCCAGCTTCGACAAGACAGTCAAGTTAGCTTGCAAACCAAAGGCGGCTCCTCCAAAGGCAAAGGTATCTCTCTAATAACACCAGTATCACTTGATTTCACACTAACTTTTATCCCCTAGTACCTGGATCCCATAATTGCTGCTACTTGGTCAGAAGATGGTGCTGTTCATGACGTTTGCAAAGCGCTCGTTCCTCGCCTTCGCGAACCTAATGCAATCGTGCGCAATAAGCCTTATAGCACCTCAGACTACAGCTGACGATCTAGCATAGGTTGTGTTCAAGGCACTAATCGTGCTTCATACCATGATTCGCAATGGAGCAACAGACAACGTCTTATCTCATCTATCTTCTTCGGAAATCCTTCGTCTGCGAAATGTGTCTGCCGGTAACTGGGAAGGTATGTTCTGCTCATAGTCATAATTCTCATGGAAATATAGACCCACTTCTATTTTATCGGTGTACTTAGGATACAACGCTCCCCAGAATCTCCAGCACTACGCTATTTATTTGGACTCCCGCATACGTGCATATCGTGATTTGAAGCATGATGCAATCCGTGTCCAGGCAGAGTCAAATCGTGACATGCGCGTCAATAACTCCATTGAAGAGGATATGGCGTACTCTAGTGCCCCGGCCCCAAAGTCAGCATCCACCAAGTCCAAGGCGCCTCAAAGGAGTAAAACAATCATGGGAAGGAAATTACGCGTCATGACAGTGGACAAGGGCCTACTCCGGGAGACTAAGACTGTGCAAACAATGATTGACACCCTGGTAGAGTGCAGGGTACGCCTCACGTCTGAATCTGCCAGATCACTTACACAATATTTATTAGTTCTATCTCGATGATCTAGAAGACGAATTAACTATAACTGCGCTCCGCATGCTCGTCAAGGATTTACTCATTCTTTTTCAGGCCGGCAATGAAGGCGTCATCAATGTATTAGGTTTGTTTATCCATCCTCGTGACATTTTTTTGCTTAAAGGGATCTCAGAACACTATTTCGAGATGTCAAAGATTGACGCGGAGCAGGCACTCTCCATATATCGACATTTCTGCACTCAGACAGAGCGAGTGGTGGAGTACTTGAGCGTCGCAAAGAAATTGCAGAATCTACTCAACGTTCCTATTCCAACTTTGAAGCATGCAAGTAGAGTTTTCCTGCGCTTGTTAAACCACTCACAGATGCCATCAGGCCCCTGTATCGTTGGCGGGTGCACTCCAAGAATACTTGAACGACCCCAATTTCGAGCAGAACAGGATTGAGTACAGGACAAATAAGGAAGCTGTCGACAGAAATGGCAAAAATCGCAGTGGGGCCCTATCTTCGGCGCCTAAAGGTGACTAAGTCCACTTTCAGAGAGTCACAATCTGACTTCTTCCAGCCTCATCATCGCAAGCAACCTCCACTGCATCCACATCTACCCCAGCAAATGGTTCATCCACTCAAACTTCAAGTTCCGCACCCAAGCTTGAAGCTACTCAGGCTATGGCAGACTTCTTTGCTTCTGTGGAGGAAGATCAACCTGTCATGTTCAATCCTCCGACTAGCAGGTAAGCCACCATTAATTGCAGAGATCCCAACGACTTTGCTTATTTTTGCACAGCCCGACGTCCAACCACTTCCGTCAACAGCCAGTGTCCAATCCTTTCGTTCAGCGACAAATGACAGGTGCTTTCCAAGGTCAACCTTTCGGTTTTCCTGGTCAAATTCAGCCGCAGGCCACTGCCTTCCCTCAGTCCTTCCAGTCAGTTCAGCCCAACGCCTTCAGTCAGCAACCGCCATCCACTCAACACCAACATCGACCTTTTTCCACCTTCTTGCAACCACAACCTACTGGATTTATAATGCCGCAAGGCACAGGTTTCTTGCAGCCGCAAGCTACCGGCGCAAACCCATTTAGACAGAGCATGGTGATGATGCAGGGGACTAGTACACCGGCTTTCAACTTTGGGGTAACGAATGCCTTCTTGCCCCAGATGCAACCTGCTGGACAAACCAACGCACCATTCCAGCCAGCTTCCCAGCCTCAGCCGTCATGGTCTTCGAACGGATTTGTTATGCAAACGCCTTCCACAAGTACACAGCTTGGACAGGTCAATGGGGCGCGCACATCATTTGACGTCCCTACTCGACCTGCTTCGACTCCCCTCACAACTTTCGGCACAACACAGGCATCTTCGACCTCGCCACCAGTAGCACAACCTGTCAAATCTCATCAGACTGGTTCGCGCAATCCGTTTGGAGTGCCAACTACGCCAGCCCCGCCAGTGCCAAAGCCACCAACACTGATGGAGTTGGCCATGGCTGCCGGAAGCTCGAATAATGTTCCACCTACCGATTTTGCACCGCCTCAGGCTCCACAGCCACAACAGACGGGCTTTTTTGGACCGCCAGGTGCTTCTGGTGGGGAGTCATCGATATCGAGTGTTGCCTCGTCCTTTGCATTCGGCCGAAAACCAGAGGACAGGAAATTCAGCCCTAGCGGTCCTGGAATACTCAACCCACAGACCACCACGACTGCATCAGATTCTTTATTTTCTTCCTTCTCTCCACTGTCTACGCAACCTACAGGAGCCACCATAACCTCCAACACTCCTTCCATGTCACTTTCAGGTGACCAGCTAAAACCCCAAATGACCGGCTTTAGTGGCATCAAGCCATTTAAACCCACATCGTCCTTTGGCGCTTCCTTGTTAGAATCACTACCTCCAATACCACAATCCGGTCCCACTACTCCTAGTATCACTGGTACATCCGGTAGTTTGTCTTCTCCACCAGCCTCAAGCGGGACAACTTCTGCTTTTGGCGCTCATGTTTCGAGCATCGGACAGCAGCCGACTGGTATTGGTGCTCTTAGTTCACAGCCAGATATAAGATCCACGCTTGGGGTAGGTCTTAGACCCCAGGCAACCGGTGGAGCCAACCCTTTCAGGGCTACGATGTATGCTGCATCTTCGCCTAATGCCGGAGATGGATCTGTGCTGCCCACTATGAGCTCGCTGCCACAGTTCAGCGGAACCAATGGATCCTCATCCTTTGCATCCAGTTACGGAAGGAGCCCTTTTGGATACCCTGGAGCCCAGGATCCCTCGCAACAGTCTTTCCAACAGCAAACCGGGACCGCATCGCTTATTTAGTCCTGACCTGTCCTATCCACGCATCTATTCCTTTTCAATTTTGTCTCTTATTGCTATCTCTCGCTCAAGTTCCCACTATCGTTTACGCTCGGATATCACGTTGCCTGGACCTCCCATTCATTTCTTCTTTACCTGTCTCCTGTATAATCTAGTAGTCGAGCTTGTGGAAGCGTCTTGAATACCAATTTTTACTTTTCACTGAGGACTCCATAAGTTAAGCGTCAAAGACCCCGAGTCACCGTGATCGGAAGTCGCGTCACGCTTCCCGCCGCTGGCTGCACTTTGTTCTTTACCGCCACCAACCTTACCACTTCAAGTGACGGTCTAAGTCATTCCAAGATGGCCTCGTGAGTTGCGCCCCGAAAATACCTGGTGCTTTTTATTGATCATAAATGCAGCGAACAACTTAAAGCAGCGAGGGCAGATGCCACCGACGCGTTTGCACCAGACATGACTGTGGAGACCGCTCTTGAACACGCGAGACGTGCGTTCGCCCTAAAAAAATATGAGCAGGCAGTAGAATATTATGCTACTGCCCTGGAACTTCAGTACGTGATCGAAATTGGACTCATTAAGCTGTGGTTCTGACGCGCTGTGTGTCTCTCATCCCATAGAACAAGGAAGCAGGGTGAGGATGCACCAGAAACAGCTAATCTCTACTTCTCGTATGGAAAAGCGCTGTTAGAGAACGCGATATCACAGGCTTCGGTTTTGGGTAAGGAGCAGCCCGAGAACGGAGATGAAGCAGAAGGGAAACGTGTGTGACGCGTTTTATTTACGTCTTGTGGGTGCAGCTGATCATCTCGTAGTCTCGGGCACTGGCGCCAATGGAAAGGGTCCTATTCTATCCTTTTCCGGAGATGCAGATGAAGGCATTGACCTTTTCGGTCAAGCCGCGATTGCAGAAGAAGAAGAGGGTGAAGAGGATGCTGAAGCGGAAGATGGAGAGCCAGAAGATGACTTTAATGCCGCATGGGAAGTCTTGGAGCTTGCGCGTGCAATTTACGAGAAAGGCAAGGATGAAGATGACGAAGTCAAAATGAAACTTGCTGAGACATATATTGCCCTCGGAGATGTATCTCTCGAGACGGGTACGCCCACCTTTTACTCGGCTAAGTATCCGCATAGTAACAGACTATCATATAGAGAAATTCGACCAAGCTATCACAGACTACTCAGAGGGACTCGCACTTAAGCTCGATCTTCTCCCGATTTCATCGCGCCAAATTGCTGAAGCACACTATAAGCTCAGTATAGTGCTTGACCTAACCTCTGGGCGACTTTCGGATGCTATCTTGCACGCGGAGAAGGCTCTGGAAAGCGTTGATGCTCGCCTAGCGGAACTCCATGACGGAATCGATGGAAAGCTGCTCCCTGAATCTAGTCGGGAAGTCAAAACAGACAAAAAGGGCAAGGGCAAGGCCATTGGCTCCGACGTACACGCAGATGGTGTGCGCCGTCTGACCAGGAGCCAGATGGAAGCCGAAATGAAGGAATGCGAAGGATTGAAAGAAGACCTCGCGCTGAAGGTGAGCCGTGCAGGTTCAGGAAGTGTATACTGACAATGCTTTTGCATAGGTGGAGGAACTTAAAACAACTCCCAGTGAGCCAACAGAGTCTGCTCCTGCAATGGCTGCAAAAGCGCTAGATGCGGAATTGAATGCTCAGTCGATATCTGTCCCTGGCCAACCAGCAGTGGTTAACGATTTGACATCATTGGTTGTGAAGAAGAAGAAAAAAGCTGCTGAATTAGATGCACCGGCTAAACGCAGGGCAGACGACGGAGAAGGTGATGGCAGCCCTACTGCAAAGAAGGCAAAGCTGGAAGAGGATGCACAATCATGAGGATCTATTTACTTCAACTATTGCGATAGTCATGTTTGTTAGAATGGTACACTGGTTGTTGCAATCGCTGCATGCTTGAAGCTCTTCTTTCCCTCTCCTACCCCAAATTCTCCTACGGTATGACCCCTCTCCGCCTTGCTCCTCAATATATATTTGTAGGTGACAAGTCCCTCGAGACCCACCGGCCCACGAGCGTGTATCCGTCCTGTACTAATTCCAACTTCAGTTCCGAAGCCATAACGGAATCCGTCTGCGAAACGTGTGCTAGCATTGACAAAAGTCCCTGCAGAGTCTACGCCTCTGCAGAATGCAGACGCTGCACGTTCGGATTCAGTTATGATAGAATCCGTGTGATGGGAGGAATGAGAGTTGATAAATTGAATTGCGGAATGAAGGGAGGGCAGGGCTATGACAGATATCGTAAGATCAAGGTGCTCGACAGAATAGGATGATTCTGTGGACGAGTGGACGTGACTTGAGAACCTTTCGGGGACGTTGGGAAGTGAGGCAAGTGCTGATAAGGTATGTGAATCACATAATAGATGAACGTCTGCTGCCAAGAGTGCTTGTGCAACCTCTCGCCACACCGTATTTAGAAGAGAGGTGTGCACAATAAGAGTTTCTGCAGCATTGCAAGCAGATGGATAATCCGTCTAGCATATGTTATCGTGAGAATATGATCGCTGCCTCAACAATTGAGAGACTTACCTTTGAGTCCACAACCACGCGAACGGCTTTTTGACTATCAGCGGATTCATCTAGATATACATGACACAATCCATCCGCATGTCCCATGACTGGTATCCGCGTGCTATTCTGAATGGCCTTCACAAGACTGTTGCCTCCGCGGGGAATGACCAAGTCAATGTAGCGGTCAAGATCCAGTAGTGCAGAAACTTCTGCCCTCGTTTGAATGGCTTGGACATACGTGCTCGGAAGTGAAGTCTGTGACAATCCCTGCGAGATTGCCTTGGCGAGGAGATGTGTCGTGTGATTCGATTCCTTTCCGCCTTTGAGGATTGCAGCGTTTCCTGAAAGTGGCCGGTTCGTATGCACATATGACAAGCTGGAGATAACAGGCCTACCTGACTTGATCGCCAGAGCCGCAATATTTACCACAACCTCAGGGCGTGCTTCAAAAATCACAAGAAGAACGCCTATCGGACATGAGACACGATACAGTTCGAGATCGTCATCGAGCTGTGAAGTATAGGAGACGACACCAGTTGGATCGGGAAGGTCTGCGACATCTTGCACGCCCTTGAGCATGGAATCCCATTTATCGCCCATTCCGAGATCGAGACGCTTCATCATGGCGTTCGACATCTTTCCTGCATCGACCTCGACTTGCGCCGCCTTGGTATGCAAGCAGAGAATGTGTGAGGATCATTATGGATCTTGAGCCGAGAAACGATGCTGCACCTCCATATCCAGCTTATTTGCTGCGAATATTTCAGCCTTGTTAGCCTCGAGCTGCTGTCTGATCTTTGCGAGGGCATCTATTCGGACAGTAGCAGGAAACAACTGAGACTCTTCGAATGCAACTTTTGCAGCTTTTGCGATTTCTTCCGCGGTGATATCGGATCCCATTGATAGTACTTGTTATAGATGAGGAATTACAGTTCTTTCGTCCAAGTACTATGATCAATGGTTTGGCCGTCTTCAGGTAACTACACTTTTGTCCGCGTTATATACGCCAATATGATATTTTCGGGAGGAACGAGCATCTGTATGGGGACAATTGGGATGACGATGACTCCGGGCCCTGAGACCTGCTTGTGGTCCCGCCTCATCCTTTGAGGATTCTTTATATAGATTAGGCTGATATTCGATTCCGCTTCATCTTGTTGCACATGCACGCAGTCTGGTGCATGCGAGGCATTCCATACGAGATCTCTTTGGCAGCCACCACACGAACGTGGCAGCGGCATATTCAGCCCTTTTCCAGTGTAACGAATCGACGATGTATCGGTGGTGCTAACAATAACCGAATCCGAGCTCCCTGAGCTATTGTCCGAGTAGTAAACGAAGCCCCGCTCACAATAGTGTGAGATGATCTTAAGTTGTATACTCCATATTTCGGCAAGTCAACCGTTGGTGCCCCAAGTCTTCCTGGTCGTTGATATAAAAGAACGCAGCTCGCCATCACATTCTCTCACCTTCGTAAATTATCAACTTTTTGCTGGTTTTGTTTTCTTCGCCATGGTGTCTCGGTCGCACGCCTTTGTCTTCGCCACTGCTGCATCTTTCATTCTACTTGCAAAGGCACAACAGACCTCTGGCACTCCCCCAAGCAGCTGGCCTCAAGTGTACCCGGGAATGCCGAATGGTAGCTACAATACGGAGTGGCAGGACTGTATGTCAACCCTTGATCCCACCCGTAATAGGAAGGCTCACTACACACCTAGACTTCCAAGTGACCGAGAATCTTCCAAATGTTACATGGTCCCTCCCTCGTAATTGGGCAGGGAACATTCCTGTTCAGAGAGAGGGTCATCCTAACAATACCTTGTTTTTCTGGGCATTTGAGAGCGAAGAGGGTTCTTTCACTTCTGATTCGACTGACGCACCATGGGGTATTTGGCTAAATGGAGGGTAGGAGATACGATATTCACTGTCCATCATGTTGGTGCTGAGACCGTTGCAGACCCGGCTCATCAAGTCTTGTTGGCTTATTGTTTGAGGTCTGTCTTTCGTTCTACCTTGATCGCTGCCGACTCTGGATTTGACAATTGGCGAAAGAATGGCCCAATCAATGTACAAAACGACTATTCGTTATTGGAAAACCACTATGCATGGAACACAGTGGCAGACTACGTCTGGATAGACCAGCCAGTGTAGGTGTTGTATCATGTGTTGATGTCCACTCTCCAATAGAAATCATCCCGTCAGCGGCGTTGGGTTTGGAACTGCTGATTCCACTGGTTATAGTACGTTCAGATCCCACGAGGCTTGCCTCAGCTTACTTATTCCTTTAGTTTTTGACGAAGATCAAATGGCGGCGGACTTCGTCAGTACACACACATCATACTTGCACCTCACTTTCACTGACTGCACACAGTTTGGGTTCTTGGAGAATCTTGTCAAGGTCTTCCCCGGCTTGGCTAAGCGCCCATTACACCTAACGGGTGAAAGCTATGCTGGCATGTATATAGCAAGTGTACTGTCTTGCTGCATGCGCAGAACTAACATTGTTCGGAACAGCCTTACATAACGAAAGCTTACTTCGAGATGGAGAATCCGCCAGTTATATTGGCTAAGATCGCTATCGGAGATGGCTCTATTGCCTCTGGAGAAACATTTGAACTCCTCCCGGTGGTGAGCCTTTTACTCACCAGATGACCTACTTCACAGTGTTCACATTCTAAAGCTTAGCGTCATCGAGACATATCCGCAGGTGATCGGGTATGACACCGATGTCTTTGAGTACTTCCGCGAACAGTTCGTACTCGTATTCGAATTATACTCCTGCGATTTCTTTAACATGTCCCCAGAGAAGCGCTTTGTGGCTATGATCTTACCCTTGAATATCCCCAAAACGGACACTTCCCAACGCTGAATTACACTCCTGGAGCCAACCCATCTAGTATGTCTGCATCGAGGCGATACAGAGCCCGACAAGGTCAATTCTCCAAGAAGCTGTTTTTGGCCGAAATGGAACAGAAGTACAATGCACGTCTGGCAAAGCGGACCACTAGTCTGTCCAAACATGAGCGCCTGCGTGCGCGGGATGCTTGGAAACGTGATTTAGCAGGCCGTGCAAATGGCACCATCGACGCATGGTATGGGTGCGATGTTTACGATGAGATATTGGATTATGCCATCAACTTCACCTTCCCGTGGTGTATGTTCATTGCTTTCATTATTTGGCTGTCGCTTATGGAGACAATAGCACTCAGTAAGGACTCTGGAGGGATGTTCGACGTAAGTAATATTTTGCTCTCGCCGCTGTACTTATTGCAAGTCGTAGGTATATAATATTCCAGATGCCCTAAACCCTGAGGCACCTATGGATGGGTCAGTTTTTTTGAACAACCCACAAACTCGCGCTGCTATTCATGCACCGACGAGCATGGATTGGGCAGAATCCATCTACTACCCATTCGGCAACAGTTAGTCAGCGACTGTTCTCAAGGGTTTCCTTCGACTAATGATCCTGACTCAGACTATACTAATGGTGATCCAAGTAAGCTTATATTTGCCCTCTCGCATAAAATTTCTTCCTGACTGAACCCTTTTCTAGGTCCTGAGTCAGTGAATCCTTGTATACCCTATCAGATTTGATGCTTACCACGTAACACAGACCTATGGCATTCCTCACAGACTTGGCCACGAATGCCACAGCCCACAACGTCTCTGTTGTCATATTCTCCGGAAATGATGACTCCCTCATTCCTCACCTTGGTTCACAAAGTGAGTCGCCACTATCGGTCGAGTCAAAGTGTTAATCACTTCCTCAGTTACTATCCAAGTATGTTGAACGATAACCGGTTTGTGAAGAAATGTCGGCTCATTGTGCCTAGAACACTACTTTTGGCGGGATTCAAGGTTTCACGCGCAGACCATCGACACCATGGTATGATGACAATGGCGATTTTGCTGGTATTGTGCATCAGGAACGCAACTGGACTTATGTCCTTGTTGACCACGCAGGCCACCTCGTGGGGTACACAAATCCCCAATCAGTACGTCTCGTCTTTCATAATCTATAGTGTCATAAATTCAGACTACAGAAACTCCGAAGGGTTTTGTCTTTATCAGGGAGTTCGTCTTTGGAAACAACCAGACTGGGCTGGTCACCAACACTTCCTCGGGATCTGCGACTGTCATAGGTGGCGAGGTCTCTTCCCTGGCAAATGAGATTATGACAGGACAGGCTGCCATCTACTACGGCTCAGCGACTACCGAATCCACATATTACTTCCCCACCGCCACAGTGCAGGCATGGAATGCATATATTGCAACCGCTACCGGCACGCCTCTATGATGGCCGCGTTGGCGAGGTAACTAGGTCTGCATCGACGCAGATAGGTGGAACGATGGCATTCGGGAGTGTCATTGTGGTGATAATGCTATTTGCACTGTAGGGACTAATTAACATTAATTATTGAATGGACTTAGCCTGTTTGCATGTACTTGTGTAGCTCTTTTTACAAGGCATATTTTAAAATACCAATACTATTCTTAAACCGCAATCTACTACCGCACCGTTCATTTGCTCCTGTTCTCATTTTGGCCATAAATTAACTACTGCTTATTTACTTCGCAATTTCAAAGGGCCACACCCGAATTCATGACTCACAACACTGTCATGACACTACCGAATCTTCCTAAGAGGATCAGATTTTGTCTTCTCGCCGCGACCTCGGCCACCACCACCTCTGCTACCGCGAGCATGACCGCGCATAGAGACTTTTTGAAAGGGACAAAACCAACTTGGGACTCTTCAGCTTCGATAATTAGAACTGAAACTAGACGAGGAAGCAAATATTTTTGGTACATGTTTCATATGTGCTTGGACCTGGTGGATGTAGCGGTTTGTCATGGCGTAGATATTCGAGACCGAGGCTGTCCTCAAGATGGGCCTGTGCAGTACATTAATAACGCAGAGATCATGAGTGCAGCGCGGGTAGTGCGTCCTACGCGATGGATGTATGACCGAGATGACGTACGAAATTAAAATATTTCTGCCATGATTCCCCCATCTCCTTCTGCATCTCCTTCTGTACCTATCTCTATCCCCCCAATATCAACTTCACCATCCGCATCTACCTCACCCTCAGCGTCGCGCGAAAAGAGGTATAGTGGATCTACGACCTCCGCGAGAGCCTCATTACGCTCCTCGAGTTCGTCGCTACTCATAGCCACGTGCGAAATGTGCACAACTTGCCATTTGTCTGCATAGGTGTCGTTTTGCTGCCGGACAATTATTAGTTATTAGGCAGTCAAGGGATTGGACGAAAGAGTGAGGGGCGCAGAGTTTGGAGGAGTTTACATACATTCATCCGCTTCTTCTTGAGTGTCATTTTGCGTTCGATATTCTTGTAATACGCGCCTGGCCCACGCTCACCTGCGTCTCCATTGTCGAGGACAAGTAAAAATTCATTGGGCACTTCTTGTTCGATTTTGACGGTCTCATAGTCGCGTACGAAGTGGAATGCCGTTGTCCTATTGTCCTCACCGCTCTTCAGTGCGAACCGCTCCTCCTTAAATTCCAGGGCATCGGCGTCCTCCTTCGTTAAGTAATACGCTAAAAAGTGGTCACCGTCGCTCTCCATCGGACGCAGAATCGCACAGTCCAGCCGTGGGTCCTCCGTGTCTATAGGTCGTTCGCCTGGGCGCTCATTGAAGCGGAATAAATCATACGCGTTCGCCCAGATGTCGGCATCTGGGAGGACGTCGTATGATTGGATAGCGGTGACACCAGTCTTGTTCGGATGAGAAAGTGTGGAAAGGTCGAGAGACGTAGAAGCGGTGAAGCCGGCTTCGATGGTTTGAAGCTGTGCCTCATGCGAGACATTAATGGGTTGCAGAAGTTGTTTCCTGTAGATAATGAATCAGGAATGTTAAAATTAAATACAATAAAAATAATGATGCACGATTCGTGTGATGATGAAGTGCGTTGTACGCCTTCGCGGCTAAGATACTCCGTCTTTCGGAGCCAGGGTACATGTGGAGGGAGAGGTGTCGATGTCCCTGATGTTGTGGGTATGGTGTAGGGTGTAGCATATGTTGAGGGATCACCCAGAAGAAGTCGGTCCTTTGGGTCAAGGGAAGGCAGGTTATCCGGGTCAGGATTCAGTGCTGTAGGACATTAATATCATGAGACTACCCTTGAAAAAGAATCATGTACTATCATCGTTGCCATTCTCTTCCCAAAGATATTCCCACCGCCCAAGATCTAAAGGCATGCCGCATTCGGCGTCGACGATCATCGGGAGAGGTGTGTCGTTGGTGACCACGTTGATAAAAGTTGGCTGCGCATAGCGCAAAGGATTTGTGGGGATATCAACTAATTTTGGCGGACATGGAGGCGCGGGGAGTGGATTTGAATACCGGACGCGAACAAGTAAGTCGAGTTTGCTAGAGACAATAAGCTAGGGAATCCAAGCAAAGAAATAGATACGTACCTCTTTCTAAGACTCATTTTATTCGTTTAGCAGGAGCCAGGAGGTTGCCTTGGTTCGAAATTGATCACATGAGTGACGCGTGTGAACTTGAATGTGACGTTGACTATTTAGCGGATAAGGCTAGACAATGGCACGAAGAGCGTTCAAACGGAAGTGACAGGATCAAAGTCTCCGATTCAGGAGTTCAAACTGTAGCAGATAGCTCAGCGACGTACGGAGTCAACTAGTCATATTGGTATACCTGTAGCAGATAGCTACATGTGTTGTTAGTTAAGTAGATACTGAATACTAGATGGTACTAACCTCAGCGACGTACGGAGTCAACTGAGGATAGTACGAGGCGCGGGAATGAACGAGAATATATAGGTACGAGGTAAGCTACCGGTACCGAGTGTCCATGACGAAGGTTTGATAATCCAACACTCCCCCTCAAACCGAGCGAAGTCCGAGGGCGGAGGCAAAGTGTTTAACCTTTAAACTAGGAAGAGCTTTTGTAAGTGTATCAGCAATCATGTCGTCCGTAGGACAATAAACAATTGAAATAGAACTTTTGTCCACGCAAAAACGTATGAAATGGTATCGTATATCAATGTGCTTAGTCTGAGCGTGAAACGCTCCGGACTGAGCAAGTGCGATGGCGGATTGGTTGTCACAATGTAAGGTGGTAGGGCTGGTAAGCGGGCGAAAGACTTCACTGACGAAGCGCCGAAGCCAGATGGCCTCCTTTGCAGCGTGCGTCGCCGCGACATATTCTGCCTCCGTTGTGGAAAGAGTTACCAACTCTTGCTTCTTCGACGCCCAAGAGACCGCTCCACCATCCAACAAGAATGCGTAGCCGGATACAGCATGTCTGTGTTCTTGTGATGCGCCGTCAGCGTCAGTGAAACCTTCCAGGCCTTGTCTGCGGCCGCCAAAAGTGAGTGCGAGGGTCTTTGTACCTATAAGGTAGCGATAGATCTTTTTGACAGCGTCCCAGTGGGGCATGCCAGGATTTGCCCCAAATTGGGCTACGGTAGATACTGCGAAGGCGATGTCGGGGCGTGTACCGACAGCGAGGTGCATGAGCGAGCCGACGGCTTCGCGATAGGGCACAGTTTTTCATCCGTGCGGACTCAGTAGGGGTTGTAGGGGACTGCGAGTGCGAAAGTGGGAGGTTGGGGTCCATTGGGATGGAGCACGGCTTCAAATCTATGAAGTTGTATTTGGTGAGTATAGCTTCGACGTAGGTCTCATGCGAGAATGAGATGGTGCAGCGCGACACGTGTCGCGCGTCACCTTCATGCCGAGCAGGGATGCGACTGGACCTAAGTCCGTGAGCTTGAAGCACGCAGCAACCTGCTGCTTGAATTGAGCGATGAGAGAGGAGTTGCTGCCGGTGATAGTGCAATCGTCAACATGAGACGCGAGAATGAGGATGTCCATGCCTATGTGCTTAAAGAATATCCCCCAGTCCGACTCTGCGCGCGTCATCCCTAAGCTCTTCATCAGCTGACACAACTCCTGATACCACTTTAAAGCTCCTTGTTTCGACCCGTAGAGCTGCAACGCGCAACAGTGCGACAGGGCGCTTGAACTTCTTGTTGACGTTTAAACCAGGTGGGAGCTCCATATAAATGATTTTGTCCTCGTCCAGCTTACCGTTGAGGAAGGCACTGTGGAAGCTGAAGACATCGATATTCCAGTCGTTTCATGCGGCGATGGCGAGGATGGTACGGAGAGATGCGAGGCGTGTGACAGGTGCGTAAGTGTCATAATAGTCCACACCGTATACCTGGGAATAACCTTTAGCCACTAGCCAGGCTTTGTACTTGTCGATTTCCCCGTCCGCGTTCCGCTTGATCCGGAACACCCATTTGCACCCTACTATATTCGCACCTTCAGGCTTCTCGACGATCGACCAAGTCCATGCGTCTTCTAGGGAGGTGAGTTCCTTGTTGATTGCGTTTTCCCATTTAGGCCAATCCATTCTGTTGCAGGCTTCCTTGACCGTCGTTGGGTCGCTACTCGCTACTTCAGCGACTCCTGCCACCATGGCGAAGACCTCTTCATCATCCTCGTCTATCTCTCCATTCTCCCCCTCCAGTCCGAGTTCGGCCGCCAAATTGGATTCTTCTGGCGTGGGTTGCATCCCACGAGGTAGGTCGCTGCTTTTTCCGTCCGTAGTGCCTGCGCCGTCGCGCAGGCTCTTGATATATGCTGACTCGACTCTTACTCTTGCAGATCGACGTGGTACCATTGCGGCTTTGAATTGTGGACCTAAGTGGTCAGTAGGAGGGGCTGGATTCGGGTTTTGGGTTCTGGGTTTGCCGGTGAGTGTTGAACTGACATCATCGATTCGTGCCGTGTGTCTAACCGTTGGTGGGGCAGTTGAACCGGCATCATCGGTTCGTACCGTGCGGCTTGCCGGTACACTGCCTCCCTCTAAAGGTATGTCCACCTCTACTATGTCGAATGTGACACTTCTTTCCACAGCTACTCTCCTGACATCAGGTAAGTACACTCGGTGCCCGTTACTCTCTGGGTCAAAGCCCATCCACCGGCCGTCTATGGCGCGCATATCCAGCTTCGAACCAGCTGTGGTATGGACTTTGACACGACATCCCCACACAGGTACATTTCTTAGGTCGGGTTTCCTTTTGAATAGCGTCTCATATGGCGTCTTGTTTTCCAGCGCGCGGGTCGCAGTACGGTTCTTTAGCCAGGTAACGTGCATGATAGCTTCTCCCCACAGATATTTTGGGAGCCCACTCGCGTGCAGTAACGTGCGCGCCCATTCGACAACAGTTCTGTTCAACCGCTCGGCGACCCCATTGTGTTCAGGCGTGTCATGTACGGTGAGTTTCCGTTCTGTCCCGTTTTTCTTCAAATGACGCGTGAACTCTTCACTAGTGTACTCTCCCCCTCCATCTGAGCGGAGACGCTTCACCTTCGCGTTAAGTTGGGTGTTAGCCCACGCTTCAAATTTGGTGTAAGCATTGAAGGTCTGGTCCTTCGACTTTAGGAGGTAAAGGTGGGTGAAGCGCGTGTGGTCGTCTGTGAACGACACAAAGTACTCCTTCTGACCGGGAGTTCTGACAGGTGAAGGGCCCCAGAGGTCACTATGGACCTCGTCTCCAAAGTTCTCGCGTCTGGGTGGGTCTCGCACTTTTCCAATCGGCTTGCGCGTGGCTTTTGCGTACTCACACAATTTGCAGCTCTCCATCGTCGCTTCGGACGGGTCAAGCGCGACTCCGGTGATTGCGCCATCCCGGATCATTTGCGCGATACCGCTGGGGGCTACATGTCCTAATCTTGCATGGAGTTCGCGCATGGTGAGTGCTTCTTTTGTGTTAACTGCGCCGGCAAATGGTCTCTTTGGCCCTCTAATGCAGTATAGGCCTTTGTTTACCGGTATCTCCCCCATCATCCTCTTCTTCTCATTGAAGATTTTGCACAAGTTCTCCCGGAACAACGCTGCATACCCGGCGGATGCGAGGCGACTAATGGACACTAGCGTCAACCCCATATGAGGTGAGTAGAGCACATCTTTCAGCAAGATGCGAGTTTTTGACTGGCCGTTTGGTAGGGATATCTCTATGTTCCCCTTCCCAGTGGCTTGAAAGGTGTGTTTATCCACCATTGTTATCGGCTTCAGTGCGATGCTGACAAAGTCTTGGAATAGGTCTTTGTATGATGACATATGGCGTGAAGCGCCTGAGTCGAACAATTTGATTCGAGCGTCTTGTCTTCCACTCGAGTCCGTGAGTGTGGCAAAGGTAAATGATGTTCTTTCTTGTGATGGACTTGCGTCATGCACTAACCACACTCCTTCAGGTTCATCGTCCTTGTCCTTGTCTTTCGCACTTGCGGCCATTTCTGGTTGTTTTCCCTTGGCATCGGACCTGTCTTTGCCTTTTCCTCCGGCTGATCCTCCTCCCCCAGGTCTGCGACAATCACGTTGCATGTGGCCATACTTGCCGCAGTTGTGGCAATTCCCCTTTATCTTACGAGTTGTTCGGTTCGTATTTGCATTGTATGCTGCGTCATCTGCTGATGAGCCCTTTTGCTTCGTCTTCGAAGCTCTTCGGTTGTACTCGTCAACGACTGTTGACATGAGCACGTCCGCAGTAAGTTTCACGCTTGATACTTTGGCGGAGGCCGTTAACGCGGATAAATGGGGATCGTAGGATGCCGGGAGTGAGCTCATGATGATGGCTGCAAAGCTTTCGTCCGTTGGCGCATGGCCCAACGAGGACAGCTGCTCCTTGATGGTGCGTAGTTTGTCGAAATGCTCTCTGATGTTTCCTTTTTCAGCGCACTTCTGGTCTTGGAGCTTTCGCAATAGCTCCACAGACACTACGCGCGAGCGCTGCTCGAAGAGACTCGCAAGGTGCATAAAGATGTCTTTAGCTGTGTCGAGATTTTTGATTTGTATGAATAGAGAATCGGGGATTGTTCCCGCGATCTGTTGCTTCGTTATGGCTTGGCCCGTGCGCCATTCCTTAAACTCTGTTTTGTATGTACTAACTTCTTTCACTTCATCCTGAGTAGCAGGTACCCACGACGCTCCTCTGTTAGGCAGCATCTTGGGGTCTATAGGCTTCGTCTCGGTGTCATCCAAATGGCCGAGCAGTCCGCGAGCATCAATGGACCATTGAAGTCGCTCTTTGTACATCATCCAATTCTCGCCATCAGTGGCGAGCTTCGGGATGCGGAGGAAATCTTCTCCGAGTTTTCCGTTCAAGGTTGACATCCTTTGTGAGTCTTTTCTTCGCGCGCTTAATTTGAAATTTTCACTAATGATGCGCAGGGCTCATAACCTGTAGCAGATAGCTCAGCGACGTACGGAGTCAACTAGTCATATTGGTATACCTGTAGCAGATAGCTACATGTGTTGTTAGTTAAGTAGATACTGAATACTAGATGGTACTAACCTCAGCGACGTACGGAGTCAACTGAGGATAGTACGAGGCACGGGAATGAACGAGAATATATAGGTATGAGGTAAGCTACCGGTACCGAGTGTCCATGACGAAGG